AGCATTCGCCAAGTGGAAAGCCCTGCATAGAGTGCTGAGAATCCAGAGACTATGAAATCACAGCACATGCTTACCTATGCTTACCTCTATCACAGAACTCATCCTACTGCAACATAAGAACTCTTTGTCCTAAATGCCTTACCTGCCAGGCACATAGTAGGCATTCAACAAGTATTTACTGAGTAACCAGTACTATATAATAAAGAACTGAGTACTTACTATGGGCTCAGACGTTATCTTCTGTAATTGTTACAACAGTCTCATGAAGTACTGTGTTCAATTAAAGATGGCTGCAAATTCTTTCTTAGGCATTGCTTCCATTGACATATGGGCTCAATACCCCTTCCCCTTAAACCTGGCTGTCTTACTACTACTTTGATGAGCAGAATAAGATGAAAGTGACACTACGCCAGTTCCAGGGCACAGCTTTAGGAAAATCAATAGCTTCTGACTAGTGTCTTAGAGCCCTGAGCAACCAAGTAGAAAGCACAACTACCTTGCTGGGAAGACCATGTGGAGCAGGCCTGAGACTACAGCAAGAAGGACTTGGATAATTACAGCTGCCCAGCCTTTCCCACCCCATCAAGGACTTCAGTGTATGAATGACCATGTTGGATTCTCTAGACTAGTCTATCTGCCAGCAGAATACCAGGTGTTAACTCCAGTCAACACCATGTGGATAGAATAGCTCAGCTGAGCCCTCCCTGAATTCCTGATTCATCAAGTTGTGAAATATAATTAAATAGTTATTTTCGAAACCATTAAGTGTTGAAGTAGTTTGCTATATGACACTAGATAATCAGAATAGGAAGATAGTATTGTTTTCTCATTTGAGAGAGAAAGAGATTTAAGGGTTAAGTCCATGCTGTGCTGCCAAGTGCTGGCGACTCAGTTCTGACTCATAGCGACCTTATATGGGATTTCTGAGGAGCAGCTTGTGGGTTTGAACTGCCGACCTTGTGGTTCAGAGTTCGGTGCTGATCCTACAGCGCCATACTGGAGTAGGGGTTTGAGCCTAGTGTCTGTCTGACCAGAAAGCTATTGAATAACTTGTTGCAGTGAATAGATCACTTATGCACACAGAACATCAGGAGCAAACTTACAGCTTCTACCCACTAGAACAGAGGTGGTACCAATTAGTTTTTCCCTCAACCCCTCAGGTCAGAAATGGTTCAGTAAATAATGCTGAATGACTGTTTTTCTTCACAGGGTTGAGAAGCAGATGCATGTGAAAGAATGGGAAAGACCTTTATGGCAGGCATTTTAAGAGTCCAGCACTGTAATGTGTGCTCGTCCCATGATACCTCATTTATTTCTCACCAACCTTGTTGAGAGATATAAAATCTTATTACAAACTGTGGATGGGGAAACCAAGATATGAACTTTTGTGTGTTTTAGATTTTTACCTGCTGTTGTTTGTGGGTGCTGTTGAGTCGATTTCGACTCAGAGTGACCCTATATAGAGTTTCTGAGGAGGAGCTGGTGGCTTTGAACCACTGATCTTGTGGTTAGCAGTCCAGTGCTGATCCTACAGTACCAAACCAGAATTAAAGCAAGGTTGAAATCTGGGTCCATCTTACTCTAAAGTCCACATTCTTTCCACCTCGTCAAGCTGGTCAAAATCACTGATGAGTCTGTGTACCAGGCTTGTCACTTGTACTTTTAAACTGTACCATGGTAGTTTTTTTGGCCATCAACCAGTGAAGGTCAGAATTGAGATCCAGAATTCTACTTATGCTCCCCACTGTAATAGGCACCACCACCAGTTGCAGGCTAGCTTTAGTTGTGCAGGACTTTGGGGTCATAGGGGGAAGACTTTCTCAAACATATTAGTGGGGTCTTCATGAAAAAGTGGCTCTTTGCTATACCAAGAAGTAAGGAGGAAAACTCCAGCAGAAAAGTGTGTAAGAGTAAGTAGAAAGGTACAGAGGAGGGACTGCTGGTAAACATACATATATACACTCATATATACGTATGTATACTGAATTTATATATAACTGCTATATAAATGTGTGGAGCTCTGGTAGCGTAGTGGTTACTAATCGGGCTGCAAACCTTAAGGTCAGCGGTTCGAAACTACCAGCCGCTCCATGGGAGAAAGATGAGGCTTTCTACTCCCGTAAAGATTTACAGCCTCGGAAAACCTGTACAGGGTCGCTATGGGTTGGAACCGACTCCACGGCACATAACAACAACAACAACACATAAATGTGTGAATATACATATGTAAAAATATAAATAGATATAAATATGTACTATCATATATATATGTGTAGACACACACACACATAGGTATATATAAGCCCTGGTGGTACTGCAGAACTGCTAACTGCAAGGCTGGTGGCTCAAACAGACTATCTGCTCTTCAGAACCCTATACACAGTCATCACGAGTCAGAACCAACTCAACAGCACTTAACAAATATAGATAGGTATTTTTTGGTATGTAATGGTACATATGAATATGCACCAACATGTTAGCAACAGTTACCCTTTGGTGGTAGAGAAGTGATTTTCTTTTTTTCACACTTATTTAAAATTTTAACTATTCTACACTAAATATTTATTACTTGAGCTAGAATGCTTCTTAGAAATGAAGATGGCAAAACTTCGTCTCACTTATTTTGGGCATGTTATCAGGAGGGACTAGTCTCTGGTGATGGAAGGACATCATGATTGGTAAAGCAGGGGTGAGTGAAAAAGAGGAAGACCTTCAGTGCCATGGACCGGCACAGTGGCTACACCAATGCGCTCAAACATAGCAATGATTTTGAGAATGATATAGGACAAGCAGTGTTGCATTCTGCTATGCACAGTGTTGCTATGAGGTGGAACTGACTTGATGGCACCTAACAACAACAACAGAGTGCTGGTATGGCACTGTAGGATAAGCACTGGACTGATAACCACAAGGTTGACAGTTCAAATCTATCAACTGCTCTTCAGAAATCCAAAAAGGGTTGCTAAGTCATCAGAAATGACTTGATGGCACTTAACAATAACAACAATAGTAAACTATCAGGAAACAGATATTTCCTGTGGTTTGATCAGTGGATGTAGGTTTTAAAAGAAAGACAGGTGAGTACTGGCTGACAGGTAGGGGAGGTGACCTGGGGTCACTTTTGTACCTTGAACTAATCATTAGGAAAAATTTCCCTGTTCTCTCTTCCTTTTCTTTAAAAAAATCTGGCAGACTCAAAGTAAGAAATCCCTGTGTGTCCCCATCCACGAATGATTCTAAGGGAGAAAAATGAACACTGAAGCAGAGGGAGTAGTTACTGTGTTCCATGCAGAGTCAGGGCTCTCAGTGATATGCTGCCTTCTTTCAGCCATGTGTTGTCATTCAATAAACACATTGGAAATAATGGAGATCTGATTAAGCTACCCAGGGTGCGGATGACATACAATTAGCCAGCTCTGTTACTGATTCAAGCACAGGAGGCATGGAGGGAAAAATCATACATGACTTTAAAGGATGTTAACAGAAACATTAATTATAAGACCGCGAGTGGGATAAGGGATTCAGCTGCATCTCTGACAGATTTGTATTTGAAAAATCTATTCTACAGAATTAAGATGGGGCCAATGTATGTTGTTTTTTTCTCTTACTGGACCCCACAAGCTCAATGTGAGAATAGTACAGGTCAGTTATGTGACAGACCCAGGTGGATGGACACACTTTCCAAGACTAGATTAATTCTACTTCCTTAAATGTGGTATGATTTTTCTCTCCTTCATAGATAGTATATGAAGAATAGGTGGGAGGTGGTGGTGGGAGGAAGGGTAATCTTCACATTAATCACTGAGGTAGAGGATTATGAGGTTCTGATTGTGCCTGCCTGGGCTACTACACCTTCAGTTTAGAGAAAGTAGGGCAATACTAGGATACCCAAAGTTAACAGTGCTTATCTCAGAGTAGTAGAATTATGGGTAAATCTAATTCTCAACTTTACACCTTTGTGCATTTTCTCCAGTGATTTTATATGGTTTTTATAATCAGGGAGGGGAAAAAAAAATCATTTCCCTTTTGGGAAAATGGTGATTCAGCAGAGATAAGGACTCTACAGAACTCAGACTGACTGGAATTCCTGACTGAGTGAAGCACTCCACAGCATGGTTGGAAGAAGGGACAGGGCGGGAGGCTGCAGCCTTAAAGAAGGTGGCTGTGGTGTAAAAGGCTCATTCTGGACACAAGCCAGGCAACCTGTCTATAGTGATTGGGATGTTACCGCTTCTCAGTTTCCATAACTTCCAAATGGGGGTCGGAGCAAAAGCTGATATATAAATGTTAGATATTATTAGGACTTTGGATATAAAGAAGAGCTCTGGTGGCCCTGTGGTATCACTGTTAGGCTGCTAACCACAAGATTAGTGGTTCAAACCTGCCAGCTGCTCTGTGGGAGAAAGATGAGGCTGACTGCTCCCTAACATTTACAGTCTTGGAAACCCTATATGGGGTCACTATGAGTCAGAATCACCTTGATGGCAGTGGTTTTTTGGGTTTATTGTAGAAAAGAGACTGGACAGTAGGACTGGAGGGAGAGGAGCCAAGAGATTCACAATGATGGAGCACCAGCCAGAGGCCAGGTGATGGGGTGATGGGATCATAGCAGAGGGCAAAAATCAAACACACTGCTCTTGGCCACAGATCTGTGCTAGCCACACTCAGACACAACAGCCCTCTCAGGATTCATCCCCATTTTATGAAGAGGAAAGTGAAGCATGGTGGGATTTATCAACTAGACCTATAGGAAGCGGCAGGATAGGGCTGGACCTCAGGTCTGTTTGATCCCAAAGCCCAGGCTTTCCTCCGTCCACCCCCTCCTCCAGCCAGCCCTTTATCTGGTAATCAGAGCCCCATAGCCTTAATGCTTCCCTGATCAGGGTAGGTGGTGGGGACCCCAAACGGCTCGCTTAAGATCTGGGGTCTCAGACCCAGATGCCATGCCCCCCTTCCCAGCGCAGCCCACCCCACCCGGCCCTGCCCTGCCCAGTGCGCACCTGGTCTCCAGGGGGATGTTGCTGTTGAGCAGCCAGTTGTCCTGGGCGTGTGCGGGCTCCTGGGCACCACCTGCCTGAGGCTCTCCGGAGAGCGAGTGGTCCGTAGGGGCCGGGCTGGGGTTGCTCCTCGGAGTGAAGTTGCCCCGGTTCAGGGAGTTAATGGAGGCCGCGTGGTGCTGGTTGGGGGTGTGGGCATGCGAGAGCGGTGGTGGCGGTGTCCGGAGCCGGGAGTGGTTTTGCAGGCCGCCAGGGTGATCTAGGGTACAAACACGCGTGGTCAGGGTAGTCAGTAGTTCAAGCATAGCACTCTGCCTAGAAAAGCAGCCCAGAGAGGTCTGAACCAGGACTACAGGAAAGGGAACTGTATGCTCTTCAGGCACAGACAAATTATATATATTCATTCAGTCAGCCACTATTTTATTCAACTGTTATTTATTGAGCACCTGCGTGCTGAAGGTATGCCAATGAATGAAATGTAAAAAAAAAAAAAAAAAAAAAATCCTCTCTTCATTGAGCTTTAATTCTAGTAGGGAAGAGTGATACAAAACCAGATTTGAATAAAACAACAAAAACAAAATAAGCCAGCCACAGAGGCCCCCAGATTCACACTGTTTCTTTTATACTTTTAGGGTGGTCATTTTCAAAGTGTCAGCCTGACCAGCAGCTCAACAACACCTGGGAATTGTTGGAAATGAAAATCCTCCTACCCTGCCACCCCAACCCTCGAGAATCATGGAGCCTAGGGTGGGCTCAGCAATCCAGTTTCAGGGGCCTCCAGGTGATTGTGATGCATGCTAAAATTTAAGAACCACCGATTCCAGGGCTGATAGGAGTTGGAATGATGCCACAATAGGGTTGGATTATATAAAGTGGCATACAGTAGATGAGGAGTCCTGGTGTGGCGCTGTGGGTTAATGCACCAGACTGCAAAGCAGTTTGAACTACAAGGTCGGCAGTTCAAGCTCACCAGCTGCTCCTCGGAAACCCTATACAGGGTCACTATGGGTCAAACCAACTCGGCGGCACTTAACAACAACAGTATATGAAACAAAAAAAGTAAGTAAAAGAGTTTATTGAGATGGGGATAAGTCTGAGAAGAACAGACAAAGCCAGGAAGGGCTCTGAGGCCTCTGTTTGTGCACACAGTGGTGATAGGTAGATGAGTTTAGAGCAAAGGGAATAAGTCATGTTGGTGTCTGCACATATTTAAAACCACTGGTCACATTTAGTGAGCACTTATTATGTGCCAAAAAGCCCTGGTGGCATTGTAGGATAAGCACTGACTGTCAACCACACTGTGGAAGTTGAACCCTATGAGGCTTTCTGCTCCTGTAAAAGTTTACAGCCTTGGAAACATACATGGGGCACCATGAGTTGGAATCAACTCAGTGGTTTAGATTTAGAGGTACTATTGTTCCAGGCCCTCTACGTGTATTTATTCAGCAAGTCCTCATTATCCACTATAGAGCAGGTACTGTTTTTATCATCATTGCACAGATAAAGAAATTGAGATATATGATAGATCCTGTACTTTAGTTACTCCCCTCAACTACTTGGAGAAACAGGAATTGTCCCCATTTCATAGATAAAAATAGACGCAGAGAAGGCAAGTATATACCCAAGGAGAGATGGCTACATTTTTGTTATTTACAAGAAATAAAGTAAATAAAACTTTTGCAGGTGATCCAAATGAGCTGCAAGTAAATCTCCCGTCTCAACCATCTAAGCTATGCTCCCCCAAAACTCTAATCTTTGGAAGCTGAAGGCATTACGAGGATGGAAAAAATCAAACCACTGGATTATAATCTAGATTCTGCAATTTATTAACTCCCTGACATCGCACGTCATGTAACCTCCTTGAGATTCAGTTTTCTCACGTATAAAATGGGGTAAATAGTTAGCAAAGGGCATCAGAAAGCTACAACAAGAGTGAAATACGGCAATCCATGTGAAAGAAATATTTCTCATGCTCGCAGTCTGCAAAGGATTTCATTTGATTTGTTACTCGTGAGAATCCTGTGTGGTAGAGACCTATATTTTATAGGGAGAGACAGATACTCAGAGAGAACCAGGATTCAAACCAAGGCAGATGAGATTCAAAGGCTGTGCTATAACTTGAATCAAGAGACAGCTTTCTGGAAACCATCAAACACAAACAAGTATGAGCTGCTATCAGTGTTAAGGCTATTTTTAGTGAAGAATGACTCAATCACTATCTGCCTTGTAGGTAACCCAATCTTCTATGGCAAAGAGTTATAAAGCACATCTGACGGTGGAGTGGGGTGGGAGTCAAAAACCCACCTGAGTGATCACGTCCTTATTACACACTGCTGCCTTCAGGATAAAGCCCACCAGGGTCTGCAAAGTCCTTTAGGTTTTGATCTATACCTGTGGCCATGTACTGAATTGTGTTCCCCCCAAAATATGTCAGCTTGGTTCGGCAGTTGTGTGATGAGCAGCCATGATGTGATCTGATGTGATAAACCAGTAAGAGGATTAAGGGTGGGATGCTGGTGTTAGTGCCGTTGAGTTTTTCCTACTCACAGTGGACCTTGTATAGAGTGTCTGAGGAGTTGCTGGTGGGTTTGAACCACCAACCCATCATGACCCTGGTCCAATATAAGGGGGATTCCCAGGTGTATGGCATGCAACATATTTTATCTTACAAGAGATAAAAAGGAGAGAAAAATGAGCAGAGAAAGAGAGACCTACTAACAGCAATAAAGAAGAGCTGGGAATAGAGTATGTCCTTTGGACCTGAAGTCCAAAACTAGTAGATCCAGGGAAACATTGATGCCAAGACACATGGAGAGCTCCAAGAAATGCTGGGCTTCCAGAAGCTGAAAGGAGACAAGGATCTTTTTCTAGAGCTGGTACTCTGAATTCGGACTTCCAGCATCCTAAACCATGACAGAATAAATTTTTATTTGTTAAAGCCATCCACATAAGGAGCTCTGGTAGCGTAGTGGTTATGAATTGGGCTGCGAACTGCAAGGTCAGCAGTTCGAAATTACCAGCTACTCCGCAGGAGAAAGATGAGGCTTTCTGCTCCTGTAAAGATTTACAGCCTCGGAAACCCTGTACAGGGTTGCTATGGGTCGGAACCGACTCGACAGCACTTAACAACAACAAAGCCATCCACATGTGGTACTTCTGTTATAACAGCTCTAGATAACTAAGACACCTCTTTCTAACCTCTTCTTTTATCAGATTCTTCCCTTCATCCTCCACTCCAGCCACAATCTTTCCCCCAGAAACAACTCAAGTGTCTGAGGCCTCAACTCTAACGAAGATGAAAAGGATGTTCATAGAACATAAATGATACCTGCTGAAGATGTGCATTGCTATGACCCTGAACCAGAAGGGAGTTAGTAGAGATGCCAAGTGATGGGAAGGGAGAGAACCTGGAAGCCAGTATGACCCATCCTGGCAGAGGGTCCCACTCAGGGACCTATGCTCCTTACAGAAGAAAAGACAGCCTTGGACCAGTAGAAGGCGAGACTATGTGGGGCCAATTGTTTTGTTCAGGTGACCTCAGGAGTGCTTTAGTGGAGGCAGACAGAGCCTGGTATAGAAGTCAGCAGCAGTGTTTTCGGCTGAGGCAATGTTCCTGACTTTGGGCTGCTTTCTGGCTGAAGTTAAGGGTACTGGAGCAGCAAGGGAGTGGCTGAACCACCACTGTTAGTAGTCATCCAGGAGTGAAAGAGAAGGGTCACCTGGGGCTTACTTCGGCTCCCATATCAGAAGCCTGTCTCTCATGACATTTTAATTGATTAATATTAATAACTGCTGTCATGTATTTAAGCACCTGTGGGTTAATGCACTGGACTGCAAAGTCAGAGGTTCAAGCTCACCAGCCACTCCTCAGAAACCCTATACAGGGTCACTATGGGTCAAAACTGACTAAATAGCACTTAACAACAACAACATGTGCACTTTCAGTTTTAATTTTTCTACTGCTAATACAACCCCTAAAAGATTGTCTTTTACTAACCTTGTTTTACAGTTGAGGCAACTGAGGCTTACAAAACTACTAAGTGATCCTTGTAAATCCAAAGACTGAGTTCTGTCTACCAAATCATGGTGCCTTTGCACAAAATGGAGATACCCATGCAATTCTGTCAGTCGAGGGCAAGAATGGACCAGGTCACATTATTCCCTCAATGGAGGTGGCAAACATCTGCAGTCCTGGTCAGAGCTGCCTGGTCTACAACCCTACAGACATCTACCTTCAGAAGACACCAGGCTTTGGCTTGATAACTTTTTAAAGTACTTCCAAAAATCTGGAAACAACAGGATTCTAAATATGAAGATTGCTGGTCACATCTAAGAACTTCTAAAATTCTTCTATGAGGGAAAGGAATATCCTGGTCTAAAACCTCTGTTTTTTGAAGCTAGCTCAGTTGCCAACCCCTGTAGAAAGCTTTACATGATTGCCCCTCCCCAAAGTTCTCTTTTCTTCCACTGAAAATGCCAACAGCAAGTAACTTGGACTTCTCACCTGATACTTTATCTTTCCCCTAACCAAAGCCATTTGAACTGCAAGTTTGGTGGTTCAAGCTCACCAGCTGCTCCTCTGAAACCCTATACAGGGTCACTATGGGTCGGAATCAACTCGATGGCACTTAACAACAACAAAAAAAGCACCTATAGAATACATACTGTGCCTCCATACTGGCTCCTCTAACCCACTGCTGTCAAATATGTGGACTCAGTGACACTAGAGGCAGAGTAGAATTGAACTAAAGGCTTTCAAGGATGAACTCTTTATGGAAGCAGAGGGCATGTCTTTCTCCCATGAGTGGCTGGAGCGTTTGAACTATTGACCTTTTAGTTAGCAGTCAAGTGCTTAACCACTGCACCACCAGAAGGCCTTTAGCCTCCTCTATTAGTTGGTTGCTAAGTGTTGCTGAGTTAGTTCTGACCCATAGCGACCCTGTATAGGGTTTCTGAAGAGTAGCTGGTGAGCTTGAACCACTGACCTTGTGGTTCAAACCAACTTTGCAGTCCAGCACATTAACCCACAATCTTTGCCTCCTCTAGTAGGTGTGAAAAATCCCTACTCCCCTCTGTGCTGAGTTAGCACAGCAACTAGAACTGAGTAGATGCTTCCTAGAGGTTCATTCAGTGAATGGCTAATAGTCCCTGGGCAGTCTGTCCAGGAGGATAAGGCTAGTGTGGAGGTATCTGTTTGTAAAATAACATCCAACCATTCTGGGCTCTTAAGCCCATGATCCTATATGGGTGTTTGCTTTC